TCTACACTGGGATTTGACACAACATTATAAAGTGACTATAACTCAATTAAAAATATAAAAAAACAATAATCATCAATCATCCATAAAGAATAATGCCATCAACAAGAACATATAGTTACCTAGAGGAATTCATAAGCAGTTGCAGACATTTTCAAAAATGAAAACACCAGATGCAGTATCCCACTTGCATCCCTGCATTTGCTTTCCATCTAGTGAAATAGCTATTATCTTTTTCCCTTGCTGAAAGAACGGAGACTGAAAAACAAAGGCTCTCTCATCTTAATTCTGCTTCTGATGTTTTATTTATTTATGAGCTCTCATCTTGCATGTAATTTTTTTCAGGTTTCCTGAGGTATAACTGACAAAAATTGTATACAATTATAGTGTACAACTTGATGTTTTGATATACATATAAAACTGTGAAATAATCACAACAATCAAACCAATATATCCATCACGTCATATACAGTTACCATTTGAGGGGGGAGGGGTGAAAACACTTAAGATTTACCCTCTTACCAAATTTCAAGTATTCAATACAGTATTGTTAACTACAGTCACATTGTTGTACATTAGATGTCCAGAATTTATTCATCCTGAATAACTAGAACTTTGTACCTTTTTAACCATCATCTTCCCATTTTCCCTTCCCATTTTCCCCTCCCCTGAGCCTCTGGCAACTACCATTCTACTGTCTGGTTCTATGAGTTTGATTATTTTAGATACCTCACATAAGTAGAATCATGCACTGTTTATCCTTCTGTGATTGGCTTATTTCATTTGGCACAATGTCCTCCACTTTCAAACATGTTGTAAATGGTAGGATTTCCTTCTTACTTAGGCTGAATAATATTTCATTGTGTGTGTGTGTGTGTGTGTGTATGTGTGTATATATATATATATATATATATATATATATATATGTCTGACTTTGGTTAAATTTATTCCTAAGTATTTCATTTTTTTGTTGTTGCTATTGCGAATAGGATTGTTTTCTTAATCTCTTTTTTGGATAGTTCATTGTTTGTATATAGAAACACAACTAATTATTGTATGCTGACCTTGTATTCTTCAGCTTTACTAAATGTGTTTATTAGTTCTAAAAAGCTTTTTTTGTTGACTCTTTAGGGTTATCTGCATATATGATCATGTCATCTACAAACAGAGATAAATTTTAC